CTCACTAGTTGGTTTTCCGTTCCATCTCCGAGGGGAATGGCGAAAAGTCACTTTGATCATGGCTTGTAAGGGCAAAGTTCTTTCGGCGGTTTGGCAAAACACTTGGAAGCAATGGTGAAGCAATCGTTAAGTGCTCTTGATAAATACAAGCAAGCCCACATTCACCGTCTCGACCGTGAGACGGTGAAACCATCCATCATCGCCAAGGAGCTTGAGAAGACCTACAGTATTGCCGTCAGCCTGAAGCAGCAGCAATTTCCATCGGGTAGGCACCTCATTTTACGTGGTTTCAGAATCTGTCGAACCCACGCGTGTTGGAGCTGTACTGGCAGAGTCTAGTCGAGAGAAGCAAATCGTGCACCATAGGGACGTTGTACGAGTGTCAGAACGTCTTATGACCTCGGAGGAGGGGAAAACTCACTCGAGGCTCGTATGCGGCGCGGTTTTAACTTGACGTCAGCGCGGCGGCAGGGCGAGCGAAGGGCGATGGCCTGCGCCTCCGCCACTGTGCTCCGATCAGCAGCCGCTTTTATGTGGAAGGAAAAAAAGAGAGAAAAGAGGATTGAACAATAGTGGATGCGTATAGGTGAGTTAGCTGCTCTTGATAGAAGAATACAGAAAAGAATACAGAAAAGTGGACAATCAGAACCAGTTACTTCAGTAAATGGCGAAACAGGCGAAATAGTTTCCTTCGATTACCGTTATACCGTTATAAAGTCACATCCAACTGTTGGCAATTTGCCAAACCTCACCTTTAAACGCTTGAGTAAAAGCTGTTTGCGTCGTTTTCACAATCGAGGGAAACCATTCGCCAGTTCCGCCGTTATTGAAGTAATACGCCCTGATAGTCGACTTTTCTGTATTCTCTCACCACTACCACTAACTCACCTGTAAGCATCCACTATCTGTTCAATCATCTTTCTCTCTATTTTTTCCTCTTTTTCCTTCCACATAAAAGCGGCTGCTGATTGAAGCACAGTGGCGGAGGCGCGGGCCATCGCCTTTCGCTTCGCCCTGCCGCCGCGGTGACGTCAAAAATTCGCGCCGCAACGCGCATGTGTGAGTTTTTCCACGGAGCCTTTTGACCTAGAGCGACGAATTTCAGTAGTCTGACCCGAAAGCAGAATTAGTACCCGACCTTGATGTACTGTGAGCCCGTTCACCCTTCTGCTGTGCGCGGCATAAATTTAAGTCGGCGTTCATACTCTGCGACTCGGCGTTTGGGAGAAACTGGCGGACCCGGTTTTTCGATCAAGTCGGAGTTTTTGACGCACACGATACACGTGCTATCCTTTCCGCACAGAACGTTGATTCCCTTGAAACGCCGATTGTCCCAAAATGCCAAGTCGCAAAGTAAGAACGCAGCCTAATTACCATGCCTCATGAATGAAGTGACTTTTTGCAACCCCCAATCGCCCCTTCTCTATGTAACAATTTTTTTCAATGTTCCTAATCTTCACGGTTTCAGCTTCTCCTGAGCCATGGTCCTTCGACAACTTCGTTTCTCTACTTCTTCATCGAACTGCTCTTATTCCAGTTTCACTGGTTGCTCGTATGAATCATAACTATTCAGATGAAGCGTGCCTCATGTTTCTCTGCTTTATGACTGTAAGTGTTTGAGAAATTTCTGGGCCATCTAGGGCAACTTTTTCACAAAAATCAAATGAGAAATGCAAGGCTTCTTGGGCACACTATATTCGTTTTTTTCATTAATAAATTGTCGCATGGTACTGAGCCTGCGTCCGTTTATTCGTTCCTGTAGCACGGTATTTAAGACATCGTATCGCTGGAACATGAACGTTTATGAAGTCATTCATCAGCCGATTCTACAAACTATGAGAGCTTTGACGAGAGAAAGAGGAAGGGAGTTTTACGACAATATTTGTGATCAGTATGCCAACATGGTGAAGCAGTTATCGAGCAGAGGCCAAGGTACGCTCTTTAATAGAAAAAACAGATCCATAAAACAAGTAATTTGACAGTTGCATCCACACAATGCGCTTTGTACAATTCCAGGGCTTTTCAGTGCCGGTGCAGTTATCACTGCAATCCGTTGGCGGATCATCCGTCCGAGATGCCTTCCATTTTGAACGAGCCGCAAGACAAAAGAACTCGTATGGAACGGTCGCGGCGTTGTTAGCCATGCCCACCAGCGCGGCGACCTAGCAGAGTTACTCACGACCCGGGGGGGGGGGGTTGGGCAATTCAGGGACAGATTGCGCAATCCATGGTAGTAGGACCAAATGTGACCTAGGTGCTGATTGACTTATAGGGGCGAAAAGGCAGACGTAGCCGTAGGAAACACTAGATTAGGCACGTCTGTTTCCTGTAGTTTTCATTTTTGGACGGGGAATGCGAAAAGCGAGCGTGCACTGCAAGTGTGATAAACACCGAAACCGAGCCTCACCCTTACCAAGTCCCCCACAGATATGTGCAAAACAGTCCCACGTTGATATGAGCGCAGTGCCATTCATCCCTGGGGCATAGCAGCTGGTAGGTGGCGTTTGTGAGGCTAATAAAATGATGGCTTCTTACTTAGGATGGAGAGGAGAGCAGAACTCATCTTGGCAGCCACTGTCCTTCTCTGCGTGCGTTCCAGAGTTTCGCAGGAGAACTGCATATGGAGGAAAGTTCAAGTCCGGTCTTGCTGCTGAATTAAGACTTATTCTAGCCTTGGGGGAGTTTCCGCGAAATACGACCCGTCTCCTCCCCCACTGAAATCTCCTTCATTGTTACGACCCTTTTACTCTTTCTGCCATCTCTCCAAGTTCCCTGCATTTTTCTGAGGGATAAAGACCTCTGATGAACTACTAGACATAGTAGTTTGGCAGCTTCTCCCACTGAGGGAACCACTAACTACGACATCGCTCCCCTCCTGCAAATACGACCCCTAATAGGGATCCCCAACGCATGACGTGCCCTGTTCCGCATGCCTATCTCTTGATTACCTTGGTACTCGGATTTCTTAATGAAGTAGTCCATTTCTTAGCGAAGTTTTCAAAGCAAAATGTTTGTAGGTGGTGCCCAGGACCTGCGGATTCTGATGGCAGCACATGCTGAAGTGTCGCCTCTGCTACAAGAAATGTCTACTATATTGTGGTGAGAGAGATGGCCGACTTGAGATGAATTACAATTCCTGTGGGCAGTTATTTTCAGGTTGTTAGTCTTTGGAACTGGTGCAGTTTTTTTCCCTCGTAGACTAAGATTTGCAGATTTTATTTGTGGATAGTGCAGATTATTTGTTTGTTCTTGAAACGCGTTCGAGATTTGTTTTCTTTTAATCACGTGGTTGCACCACTTTAAAAAAGCTTTTGCTACTAAAAGCTTTAATTGTGAAAGGATAGAAGCATTGGTTGTTAAGCTCTATTGTATGTGCACATAGAAAAAGTAGCTTTAAGAAATAGAAATATGTTATGTTGTACAGCACATTCACTTTCAGCAGAGTTTCTTTCTGATTTTTCACTGTGAGTTATCTGTGAATGACTTGTTTACTTCTGTAAATTGCTGTTTCTTGATCAGTATTGAGTTGGGAGATTGTTGGGGATTGGAGATTTTATTTTGTTGCAAAGTGTTTGGTTCTGTGTAAATGAATTTTTTGGTCAAATTCTCGTTTGTTGCAGGTTTTTTGCAGTGGGCAGGTATGGGTATGTGACAAGACAATCGTAATATGCCGCGTTGGTGGGCGTGGCGAACGACGCAGCGACTGACCGACGACTCGTCTTGCCTATTTGCATTTCAGTGTCTAGCCTTCATCGAGTCTTTTCCCAGGGCGAGTTAATGTGAGATTCGCTGCTCCTGTTGTCTGACTGGTGCACGTTAGAGAATTTGCTGCAAATGGCTGCGTGACACCCCACGCCCAGCGACGCAACAATTTACGATAGTATTGTCTGTCACCCGGCTGGTGTTACGTTTTGTGGGGCACTGTACTTCATCTTAACAGAATGGATGTAGCCTCTATCTTCGTTTGGCGCTCACTCTAGCCGCACTGTACTTGGCCGCGCGTGGTTGACGATTAGATTGGAATCATGCATTCGATTTTGAAGTCATTCGCATGATGGTGGAAAAAGTTCTCGAGCGTCGATATCGCCTCTGCTAGAGCGGCAGAAGTGGGGAAGGTGAGGCGAACCTTGTGGTGGTCGCTAGCCTGTTGTCTTATTGTTAGTCAATGGCCACGTCAAAATTAGGCTGCGATCATATTTCACGGGAGCGTCCACCAGCGTCCACGAGCGTACGTCAGCGTCTCAGAGGACTGAAGAGTAGAGGTATAGATCTGCGAACGCCAGCGTACCAGCGCCAGCGTCCACCAGCGTACAGCAGCATTCATGCGGGCACTTTGGAACTTGAGCGAGACAGCCCGCGAAAACGCTAGTGGACATTCGCAGACTAATAAATGTAGTTCCCTAGTCCTTCAAGATGCTGGCGCACGTTGGTGGACGCTGCCACAAAGTATGAACGCAGCCTCAGGGGCAAGTGCCGAGCTGCGGCGTCGCGGAGAAACTAATTTCGAAAGGTGTGATATACAGGGGGGCCAAAAAAGTCACTTTCTTCATTGACTTTCGAGGCGCTATAAGTTACACTTTATCAAATTCTGATCGGACATTTTTACCACCATATTAAAGAGCATACTACTATCATGACACTCCGCCACAGCCTTCTGGACGAGCGCCATCGAGAGATTCTGGCACGCGACCGCGATGTGGTGCCTGAGATCAGCGAGATAGTCGATTTCTCCGCCACCGTAGACCACCCTATTGAACTCCGCCCGAACCGGGTAATTGAGGGGATTCAGGTCAGGTGACCTACTTGGATATTCCATCTTCTTTAGGTACTCAGCCCCTTCCATTCCAAGTAGGCGAGTGTTTCTCCAACGCCCTTCGATTTCATGTGGTGGCACTCAATGCTGTAGCAGTACAAAGTTTCCAAGAAGGTACGGGCGACCACATGTGAGGAGGATATTCTTCACGAGTTGCCCAATGTAACCGCCAGCGCTCACCTTCAGTCCGGGGTCCACGAGTCCTCCGACTGGA